TAAAAGCATGGTGGAAATCAACAAGTTGAAGTCTCAACTCAGAAAAAGAGTTTGAGATGAAGGACCTGAGTGCAGCTAAGAAAATTCTTGGTATGAAAATTCTGAGAGATAGGAAAAATGGTAGGTAGTGTTTGTCACAGCGGAAGTACTTGGAAAAGGTACTTTCTCATTTTTGGTATAAAAATCTCAACGCCTGTGAGTACTCCCTTAGCTGCCCACTTCAAACTGTCAACAACTATGTCTCCAAGTAACATGGAGGAGTTTGAGTATATGTCTCATGTTCCATATGCGAGTGCAGTTGGAAGTTTGATGTATGTTATGGTATGTAATCATCCCAACATTTCACAAGCAGTATGGTAAGTAGGTATATATCAGATCTTGGTAAGGATCATTGGCAAGCTATGAAATGGTTACTACGATATCTCCATGGTACTCTAAATGTAGGATTGGTGTATCAATGGGACAGTAGTTCAGAGTCTCATATCAGTGGTTATGTGGATTCCGATTATTCTGGTGACTTGGACAAGCGAATGTCTACAACAGGCTATGTTTTCACAATAGCTCAAGGTCCAGTCAATTGGAGGCCTATGCTACAACCAACAGTTGCTCTGTCAACGATTGAGGCAGAGTACATGGCAGTGACTTATGCTATCAAGGAAGCTCTTTGGCTCCGAGGTTTGATTGGTGATTTAGATATATCACAAAAGTATGTGAGCATTTTTTGTGATAGTCAGAGCGTCATTCATTTGGAAAAACATCAAGTTCATCATGCAAGGACCAAGCATATTGATGTCTGGTTTCATTTTGTTCATGGGATTATCGACAATGGAGAGATTTCTCTACAAAAGGTTAGCACCAAAGATAATCTGGCAGATATGTTGGCCAAGGTGGTTCCAATAATTAAGTTTGAGCATTGCTTGGACTTGATCAACATCCAACAAGTTTGAGCGCCTTGGTAGGCGCATCAGGGACAACAATCGAAAAAGGGTTTTCTAGATGGCTTGTTTGATTTATGTCCAATGTGGAGAATTGTTGACTTTGTGGCCTTTTTTTTTTGGCACAAAGCCTTTAATGTGGCCAGTACATTCAATGCTCCTTTGGCAAGGAAGTCAAGACACAAGCCGTCTACATGGGCTACGCAAGGAAAAATTGGCGCAGGCGTGGATGCGCAATTTCTGTGCAGATTTGATCAAATTTGCATAAATCTGATTCTTTGTCAATTTTCTCTCCAAAGTTCACTATAAAAGGAAAAGGCCAATAAAAGTTTCATGCATCTGAAAATTGAGAGCTCAAACATAGTTGTGAGTTCACCTGAGTGATATTAGGTATCAATTTGAGTGTTCTCAGATCTATGAGTAATACCAATGAGATATTAGAGTGATCCTATTTTGTTTGAGTGAGTACTTGTGAGGTTTGAAACAATTGTTCTTATACTCTTTGTTTACTCCAAATAGTGAAAACATCTGATCGCTGTTATCGTGGACGTAGACAATTGCTGAACCACGTAAATTATTTTGTCTTGTGTGATTGTTCTTTATTTGTCCACTTGAGTGTGAATGTCAATATCGATCCAAATTCGATTCTAGGGTAATTCACGCAACAAAACTTACTACAAGAAAAATGAGCTTTTGGATCAGACCTTTTTACTTTAGCTAACTACCAAAGCAAATATTCAATTTTTTGCTTCAGCAATTAATGTAGAAGCAAAAAAATCGAGTATTTGTTTCAAAAACAATCTCGAAGCAAAAAAAAGGCGTATTTTCTTTGGTAAGGTACCAAAATAAAAAAAATGTATTTGCTTTACTAAGGTTCTGAAGCGAAATCATTAATTAAATATGATATCGTTTTGTTTGTTAACCAGAAATAAGATAAACGAGGTCGACAAATAAATTAAATCAAAATAACGTAGGTTTGATGAAAACCCTGAAAATCCCCTAGCCTTTTTTCATCCTCAATCCCTTTATCACTCTGCCTTGCCCCATCGTCTCTCTTTCTCTCTCTCAATCGGCACATGAAACTAACAACAGTATCTCACCACCACCGAAGATGCAATAGATGGACTCTCTTTCCCTCTTCTCTAGGTATTCTATCTCTTCTCTCTCCCGCTCCCACTCTCTGGTCTATCTCGTCTTTTTCCCCTTTGCAAGTCACACAACAACACACACACATTTGTTTTTGTTGGATCGTTAAACCATCAACGTCACCCCGAAATTGAAATTTAACTTAGTTCATCTCTATCTTTCTCTCTGAAATTGGCACCGCAACCTTTCACTACCAGTAGCCATTCCCTACCACCACCAGTCCTTGGCTCTATTAAACTTAATAGTCCCCTAACCCCAAGCTGAGGCTCTCCCTCCTTTGACACACACTAGCTATATTCAAACTCTAACCCCAACTTTTGAATGTAATGAGGTTACAGCCTAGCTTTGAACCTTAACTAATATTTGGATACCAATTTTGTGCCCTAGCTTTTTAATTTTGGATTCGGATTCAATCTGTGTTTCAATATACGTTTTTGTATCAGGACTTTTTTACTACGCTCCCTTTGCCGAAGCAAAAAGTCTTAATGTTGAAGTAAAAAGTTTTTGCTTAGCAAATAATTGAAGCAAAAGCCCTCTTTTCTTGTAATGAATATTAGATGGAGTTCGCTTTTAATTTAATAATTGTATTGAATTAGGTCCGCATAATATTTTCTATTGTAAGATATCTATTATTGTAATAAATGAGAAAGAATGATGATATCAATGGATAATAATATGAGTAAAAGTAGATCAATATTAATTTTGAGTTACGAAGTAAAAAAATATTATAAATTATGTTGTTTAACAAATATATGAACTTAATAAAGTAGAATACTAAAAATTCATTTAGTCGATTTAAAAAAAATCCCACTAACGTGGCTATATTATGAATAAAGAGAGAGGGTAAGTATTGTGTCCTCTGTTTTTATTGGTTGTTATTAGATAGTTATTAGTAATTTATTGTAATTCTGTTATAGTAACTTCATTGGAACTATTGAATTAACTATCAATTTATTGGAACTTAATTTATTGACTTAATTTACTACGACATTTGGATTGACTGAGAATCCCATTAAACATTGAAACTTAGTGTTGATCCAAAAATTTTAATAAAATTATATCATTAAATCAACAAATTATGTCAAAATTTTAAGTCTAAATAGCATTACTCTTGGATCAACGCAAAATCCCAATATTTAATAGAAACTACTGTTAATTCAAAAATCATAGTGAATTAGATTAATAAATTAAATTAATAAATTAGGTCGTATAACATTTTTAAATTTTTTATTTAACTGACTATAAGAAAGCTATAATTAACCTCTTAAATTTATTTATTTTATTTTTTAATATTTATTTTATTTACACATGAGTCCCGTGTAAGCATGATCTTACTTTTTAGGTAGAATTATACCTAGACCCCATGATATTTGTCACTTAATCACTCATATCCCTAATATTTAAAATATTATATACAAACCCCCTAATATTTGTACAAGACCTATAAATATATCAGTTAATAAATTATACTTAGACCCCTATAAAGTTTATAGATATATAATACTTAGACCACTTAAGTTTGAAATATAATACTTAGACAAAAAATATTGCAATCAAATATAAAATATAAAATATTTTAAATTTTACAATTAAAGAATCATTTATTGAAATAAAATCAAAAATAAAAATTTAATTTTTTTCTTAAAAAATCGTAATTAGTATACAATTATATTGTCTATTAGAATTTAATTTGGTCGTTTAAACGACCAAATTAAAATACCAAACTACCTCAATTAAAGTTAAAAGATATTGTGTTCATTACAGTTTAACCCCTTGTTTAATTTTTTAATTTTATTCTAATAAATAATATAATTAAATACTAACTATGACTTTTTTTTTTAAAACTAGACTTTTAGATATAAAATCCATGTTCTATTATGAATGAATTAGACACCTTATTTGATTTTTTAGTTTTATTTCAATAGATAGTATAATTGTATACTAATTACGATTTTTTTTATTTTATTTGATTTCAATAATATTAAAAATAAAATATTTTATATTTTATATTTGATTAAAGTATTTTTAGTCTAAGTATAATATTTTACACTTAAGGCGTTTAAGTATTATATACTTACAAATTTTAGGAGTCTAAGTATAATTAATTAACAATAAGAATCTAAGTGTTACACGTGTACAAACTTTAAGGGATCTGCATGTAATATTTTAAATATCAAGGGTCTGAGTGATTAAGAAACAAACTTTAGGGAGTCTAGGTGTAATTCTCTCCTACTTTATAATAAGGGTGAATTATACTATGCACCCTAAATGATTTCCAAAATTTTATTTTATGCCTTTAAATATTAAATTTTTCACATTATACTCTTAAATCTTAATGTATGTGACCATTCTGTTAATTTTTCTGTAAGTGTCAATAGGTTCGCGTTTAATAGAAGAAATAATAAAAACTAACAGAAAGACTATATTGTTATATTTATTATATATTGAAAGTGTAATGTGACTATATTGTTATATTTATTATATATTGAAAGTGTAATGTGACGTTCAAAAAATGTATTCTTTAAGAGTGTAAAGTGACAATTTTAAAATCTTTTAGAATACAAAGTATACTTTAATCTCTTAATTATGATTTTTCCACATTATCCTCTTAATTGTTTTATTTTTCACATTGTATTATTCGCATCGCCCTAATTATTAATGTCCATTATATATTTTGACTAAAAGTTATTTCATTTTAGTTTCCAAATTATATAATTTTTTTTACGTTACACCTACACTTTGATATCCATCTAAAAAAATACGGACGTTCATGTTCAGGACTATGTGAAATAATTTAATAGTTTAAGGGCAAACTAAAATTGAGTCCATAGTTAGGAAGTCAAAGTGTAATTTTGCCCTATCACAATCACAATCGAGCAAGCAGAGCTTCGACGACAGAAGCCCACTGAGGTGGGGCTGCTGATATGGCCGTTCGATCAGATTAATTGACTGTTTTCTTTGGAGAGTTCATCGACGAAACGCTAAGACGGCGCAGCGAGCCAGAACGAGATCGGAAGCCAAGTTGTTTTCTCCTTCAATCAGGTAATTTTCTCAAACAATTACTTATATATATTATTAAATAAGATTCCAGAGTCAGAAACCCTAGAGTGAAAATCTTATTTAAGATTTCAATCATCAAAATTTAAGGCATATCTTCTAGGAACTAGTGTGAAATAGCTCACAAGGTTAGCTTAAATCCCAGATTTAAACCATTAACAATCACACTCACACACACAAACACATCACATATAAATTTTGTGAATATTTTTAGCTCAAAATTTTGTAGTTATTTCCTGAAAGATTTTATCCCCTCATTGGGGAAGACATAGTCCCAGGAAATAGTATGTATTGTGGTGTGTTTTTTGTTTCCCTAGTTACTACTTTCGGAGAATTTTAGAAGGGTTTTGTTTGGTGATATCCTATTTCGTGCAATTGAACGGATTTGTTGTGTGCATACATGCTGTTTGGTGCTTTATGATTTGAGTGAATTCCCTTTAGTTTAGCCTTCTCCAATAATTTGTGGCTTCTGTGTTTTTTAGGGTATACAAAAATGGAAAATAGATGGTACAGTGGCAGACAGGAAATGCGTGCTAGAGATAAACGACAACACAAAACGGAGGAGGTAATGATTTTCGAATGATTACCTTATGGTGGAACCGAAGCTCTTGCCTTTGATGGTTCTATAGCTCATGGTTTTTGACTTTCATTTAAAGAATATTGTAAATCTATGTAACATATTCTTGTCAATGTCTTTATCATTGAGTTGCCAGAGACCTCTTGTAGTGATTTTTTTACTTTTTTTTTTTCCACTTTTTCCTTTCCTGCCTTGTATTGACTGTTTCCTATTCTACCATAAAGGTAGAGTTTTTTTTGGTAGTGTAGTGCAATGTTACTGATACCGTTCTTATAGCAGTAATTCTATCAATGCTGATCCATTATGAGGAAGCGTTAAGAGTTTCAAGCATTGGTCCTTTATGATGTATTACAATGCGATCCATTTCAATGAGTCCCATATTTATCCATTTAGTTATAATATATTTTCTCTTCTGTTCAAATAGAGACTTCTGAAAAATTCTTGAATGAATACTAAATGTGAATGTAGCATCAGACTTCTGCTTCTCTGCGTTCTCATTAACAAAGTTTGAAAATTTTGGTGATCTTAGTGTGCTGACGCATGTTTTCTGCACTTCATGGTATAGGCATATGAGGCTTCTGTTCTTGAGGATCTTGCAGAGGATTTTCGCCTTCCAATTGAACAAAGGCCAACCGAAAATGTAGATCTAGATAATGTGGAACAAGCATCATTAGAGACAAAATTGACATCCTCTAACGTTGGATTCAGGCTACTCCAAAAGATGGGATGGAAAGGGAAGGGTCTTGGAAAGGATGAACAAGGTAGATATAGCAATTTAACTATAATTATTGCTTATCAGATTTCCATTAATGATTCGTATAGTATTGTAATTGTTTTATTTATCTGTGTATGTAAGTTTTTCAGACTGTTTTTAAAGAATAATTTGCTTAGTGCTCGCCACGTGGCTACATGCCACCTGCTTTTGATGTCCATATTTGTCGTTCCTTCCACTGCTTGACTCTCATTTACTACATATGTTCTCATTTTTGTTGTTATTTTAGTATAGATATTATGATTGAATTTTATCTAATAAACTCCATATCCAAGCACATATATTATTCTTCCTTTGAATGCCTTGTTATTGTGTGGGCGTTTATGTTTCCCTCGTCTATCTTGTACCTGTGTTCTAATTTTTTTTCTCTTCGCATATTTTATTTAAGGAATAATTGAGCCAGTAAAATCTGGGATAAGAGATCCAAAATTAGGCGTAGGAAAACAGGAGGAAGATGATTTTTTTACTGCAGAAGAAAATATCCAGCGGAAAAAACTTGATGTAGAGCTCGAAGAAACTGAGGAAATTTCAAAAAAGCGGGAGGTATGACTTTCAAGCATGTAGTTGGTAGTTTTACATATTGCCAGCATCAGATAAATTGAGGTTGATGCATTACTTTTTTTGAAACCTACATTTAATAGCAGAAGGCAGCATATAGGATATATATCTGTCTTTTGAAGGGAATGGTATATCATAGGGGAACATCAACTTTGGAAGATCTTGAGAATTTCGTGAAGTTTTTATTACCTGGTGGCTTCTACTGCCTGCTTCCTGCACATTATGAAAATCCAGGTTATAGCAGAACGTGAGCAGAAAATTCAGACTGAGGTGAAAGAAATACGGAAAGTGTTCCATTGTGAGCTCTGCAACAAGCAATATAAACTGGCTGTGGAGTTTGAAGGTCACCTGAGCTCATATGATCACAACCACAGAAAGGTATAAGGTCGTTAATAAAAAGATGCGAATCTTGTTGAAGCTTTCATATGGTCATTTTGTCTCTTGTCATGGATTTGGTTTTTAGCCTTTTCTAAAATTGCTTCACTTGGTTTGGGAAATGCAGCGTTTTAAAGAAATGAGAGAGATGCAAGGGTCTAGCAGTCGTGATGATAGGCATAAGCGAGAACTACAACGTCAAGAGAAGGAGATGGCGAAGTTTGCTCAGATGTATTAGTTATTTCCTGCACCTTATGAACTTCACTTTAGAATTTTAGGTGGGCATTAGATAATTCAGTTATCTTATCCTGTGATTGTTGATATTTTTTTATTTCCTGACAATCAGGGCTGATGCCCATAAGCAGCAACAGCAACAGGAGGAAGCTGGAACTGATGTGGTCTCCACTGCTCTGAAAAGTGCTACTGTACTTGCAGATCATGATCAACGGAAGGTGTTAAAGTTCGGATTTTCCTCAAAAGGTGGCACATCCAAGGTATTTTTATGTGGAATTTAGGATTTTGTCTATATGTGATTGCTGTCACCGTCTAGTCTGAGTTGTGTTTGGAACTATTCTTTTATAAGTAGACTAGAATTTGCAGTATATATAAGCAGTTGATCAGGGAGGCGAAAAAATCTTAGTCAATGTTATGCTTAGAAGTATAATTTTCTTTTTACGAACTTGTACTATTTCCTGAAACTTTTGAATGGATTTGTGGACCTATTATTACTGTTTTTGGTCAATGAATCTGTACATTTGTGTAAAACCAAGCTCTCCATAACAGTGTTATTTAAGACGTAAAGCAAACGGGAGTGACCAAGGCTCCTAAAGCCTAGGCGAGTAGGAAAGTGAAATGCTTCACCAAAGTGAAGCGAACAATTGAAAAAAAAAGTAAATATTTTAGTTTAATTACTTCTAAATATTTAAGTTCTAATTTTATAAATACTAAATATTTAAATGCAAGCAAAAACATAAACATTTACAGAAAATCAGCACTACTATCAGCAAAATTAGCATTACAGAAAATCAGAATCAATAGAAATAAGCAGTACATAATCAACAAAAATAAGCAGTATAGAAAATAAGCTAAAGCATTACACAAAATTTGCATTAAGCATTATAGAAAATTAGCATAAGCAGAAAAAAAAATAAAAAGAGAACCAAAATCAGCAAAATAAGCATTTATAGAAAATTAACATCAAAAAGAGAGAAGCAGAATCAGAAGTAGAAAAAAGAGAAGAAGTAGAAGAAGAAGAAGCAGAAACAGAGAAGCAAAAGCAAAAGAGGAGAAGAAGGAGAGACGATGCAGAACCAGAAGAATCAATAGAAGAGAAGAGAAGAGGAGAGGAGAGGAGAGAAGAAAACGTACCTCTATTGTCGCAGTAGAAGCAGGAGAAGTAGTAGGAGAAGCAATAGATCCTGTATTTTCTAAAGAAGAAGAAGAAAAAGAAGAATTAAAAAAGTAGAAGAAGAAGAGAAGAGGAGGAGAGAAATAAAGAAAAAGAGAAGAGGAGGACGAGAGAAATAGCGAAAAAGTAGGACCTGTGTGGTGTTTTTTCTGTCGAAGAAGAAGACAAAGAAGCAGATGCAAAGTTGTGGAGCTAGAAGAAGAAGAAGAATTAAAAGAAGAATAGGAGAAATAGAGAAGAAGAGAAACAAGAGAGAGAAGAAAAAGAAAAGAAGCAGACAAACCTGTGGAGCGTGGACTAGTGAGGAAGGAGGAGCAGCAGCTATCGTCTGACCCTTTAGGCAAAATTAGGATTTGGATGTTGTATATATTGGGATAAGGGGACAATTAGGTGTATGGGCATCTCATAATTTTGTTTCAATTGCTCTAATCCAACTGTCCATAATAAAAATAAAACAATCCAATGGTCCATAATAAAAAAATAAAGCAACTTTAAAAATTTAATTAAGGCGCTCACTTTTCTTGCCTTTTACTAAAGTGGGAAGTGCTCATTTTTCTTGCTTTTTAATCGCAGTTATGTTCGCTTCGCCTTGGTTGTTCAAGGCGAGACCGCCTCGCCTCGCTTCGCTTCTCGCCTAGGTGAGATTTTCATAATGTTGCTCCATATATATATATATATATAGGTAACACAGCTTTGATACCAACAATATATATCTATCTATAATATAAAACATGATAGACTTCAATAAACTCATCCAACGGCTACCAACATCTCTCTCAAAACTATTCATATTGAATTTTTTCCTATTTCAAATTCATTACTTCTCACTTACGTTGCACCGTACTTTCATATACGAGTTACCCCTAGTATATTTATAAGATCAAAACAATATGTATAGGATCGATATGAATACATAAGCGAAAGCTTTTATTTAATACAAACTAAAATTTATAAAGTTTACTTACAAAGGAGGAGATAAAGGAGATAAAAACAAATTTACAGGAGATAAAGACAAGTTTAGAAGAGAAGGGTGAGAGTGGTCAAGAGAGCCTGGAGTAGAAAGAGAGATATAGTCTAAAGGGTGTCTCCATCAGACTGGTCAAGCATCCATTAAAAAGGAGTCGGATGTAAAATTTAGATTCAAAAAAGTAAAAAAATTTACTATTTACAACTTTATACTATTTGCTGATGTCATTACATGCGTCATCTTCACTGTTGGTAACGTCATGACTTACGTCTCTATTACTGTTGATGACGTCGTTGCTACGTCACTGCTTTCATGGTCTTCTTAACGCCGTCTCTTTACTGTTGACGCTGTTTGGTTACAGTATAGTAAATCATATAGTTCAGCGTTAGCGTTGTTTTGGAGATTTATTTTTATATCTTCATTATGTGGGGTATAACCTGTAACAGTATATCCCTGTGAATCTATAAAGTCGTCATCAAAATCGACTTGAGTTTTGGTTTTCCTGTCATCATCCTCGACTTTATTTTTGTCTTCCTTATGACCACAGTGGGAGTATTAACAAGATACATCTTCTCATTTTTGCCCATTCCGAAAGTGGACATCATTTGGAGACACATCTCGTCCATAACTGCCACTTTAAGTTGTTCAGTTGTTAGGTTGGGTTTTTCTTTAAAAAATTCAATTGGATTTAATCCAATATTAATAATAGTGTTAGTACTAGGAACAATTTCTTTTAAGGTTACTTCCTTGTAAAGAACATGGCTTTTAAACAAATATTGTTAGATGGCAAGCCATTTTATCGATTTTTCGATTTTAAAATTGAATATGCTAAAGGAGGATTAAATTCTCTCCCTGATTTTCTAATTAGGGAATTTTGCAGAGGACGAGGTAATAACTGTGGCTGAGGTCGCGGGAGAGGAAGATCCGAGGGAAGAACCCAGATCAATGCATATTATCCACCATTAAATGATTTCAAACAACTTAAAGGTCAATCCAGTAAGAAGGATGATGACGGGTATACAGTCGTCAGAAGTAGAAAATTCATGAAAGAGGCCTTAATAGCCAAACTTGAGATGAATTACACAGGGTTAAAATCTTTGCCAGCTTTCAATCCAATTATAATATTGAAAGATAAATCTTAACTAGGTTACAGACCTTTATTGTATTGCTAAGTAATTTATGATTATGGATAATGTCTTTCTTGTCATCAGTAATAGGGACAAATTCTATTATGAATTTATTCGTAAAGAAACTAACTCAGTTAAATTTGGGCATTTTTTATAGAAAAAATGATTATTCTAAGGAGGATAATGTCTCCCACAGTGAAGTAGTACTTTTAAGGATTTTATCCGAAAGATACTGGGGTTTAAGTTTAGTAAGACCCAGAACATTAAAGAGATTTCTTTATATGGAATATAATTATTGCGATTATATAGAAACTTGGCATAATGCCTTCCTTTATCAAAATGAGTCTTTAACGCACTCATGGTTTTTCATCTTTACAGAAACCTTCATTAAGTTTTCTACCTGGTTTTATGACTAGTGGGACACTTATGGTGCTATTGAAGTGATGTATTCCTTTGAAATGAAAGAATTATTTGACTTCTATAAAGAAAAAAGTCAATCCTTAAAAGATAATAAAATTGAGGTTAAACCCATAATGAATTTCTCAATAGAGTTCTTTGTACCTTGGGTTTGGGTATGGAGTCTCTGTTGTGATTTTAATAAAAATGGACATCCAGATTAGTTCGAGAATTCCAAGTAAGATTTTGGAATAACTATCCTCTTAAGGAGAAAATTTCAGTTATAGTCGAATGTCTTAAAGACATAGAAAACGAGGACTAATATTAGATTAAATCCAATTGAATTTTTTAAAGAAAAACTCCTTAAAGAAAAACCCAACCTAAAGCTTAAAGCGGCAGATATACACGAGATGCGTCTTCAAATGATGTCCACTTTTGGAATGGGCAAAAATGAGAAGATGTATCTTGTTAATACTCCTACTGTGGCCATAAGGGATAAAGGCAAAAATAAAGTCGAAGATGATGATAGGAAAACCAAACCTCAAGTCGATTCTAATGACGACTTTATGAATTTACAGGGATATACCCCTGTTACAAGTTATACCCTTCATGATGAAGATATGAAGATAAATTTTCAAGACAGTACTAATGCTAAACTATATGATTTACTGTACTGGTAACCAGACGACGTCAATAGTAAAGAGACGACATTAAGAATACCATGAAAGTAGTGACGTCACCAACACTGAATATGACGTATGTAGTGACGTCAGTAAATAGTATAAAGTTGTGAATAGTAAAATTGTTTACTTTTTGAAATTCAGATTTCACATCCGGCCTCTTTTTAAAGGATGCTTGCCCAGCTTGTTGGAGATACCTTTTAGACTACATCTCTTTTTCTACTCCAGGTTCTCTTGACCACTCTCTCCATTCTCTTGTAAATTTGCCTTTATCTCCTTTTTCTCCTCCTCTATAAGTAAACTTTGTAAATTTCAGTTTGTATTAAATAAAAGCTCTCACTTATGTATTGATATTGATCCTATATATATTGTTTGAACTTATAAGTATATATATATTGTTGGAGTTGTTTGATAAATATAAATATGTATAATGTTTGATCTTATATATATACCCCATGCACAACACGCTTATTTTTAATACATGGGTTGAGTTACTATAGTTAAAATTGAAATCGTAATATAAATCGTCAGATCTAAACGATCTGGATCATTGTTGTGCTTTATGTAAGCAGTACTATGTACAATATTTTTTTTTTGTGTGCGTGTATATTTGTAGTATAAACTTTTTTTCTACTTGTATGAAAAGTGGAAATGAGGGTGATATGAAGACACTCCTGGAACTTCTCTTGATGGAAAAATGGGGTATTTTACTTTGGCTGAATTGGAACCACATCTTTGTGAAAAATCGTAATTACTCTCTTTCTAAAACACGATTTTACTTCTGGTAAATGGAGCTTATGGTTGCTTTATGGAGAAAAATCATAAGTATAGTCTTTCTTTCATTCTTGCAACTATCTTTTTTATCCTCTAGATGCTTGAGAAGTCAAACCATCCCCCCAAAACCCCCAAAAAAAAAAAAAAAGTTACTTTACTATGATGTATAC